CCAAAATCCAACAGCCTGGACTCTGTTCCAGCCCTATCCTATAAGCTTCCACTGAGCTATACAGGGAACAGCAGAGAAAGGGAAGAGGTTTGCAAATGACGCACTCCAAACATACTAGGGACCACCAAAAACTCTGTTGACTGAAGGACTTGCAAGCTCAGCTAGGATGAAGATGTATCCTTATGCTGAGGCCACAGCTGGGATGACTGTACGTGTTTCACATCTATCAGTCACCAAGGCCAGGCAGGCTAACCCCCCTGTTTTCTACACATGTCAAAAACAATTGTGACAGTCTTGAACACCAGTAGGTCCCTCCATCACCAACATTTGGTCCCCTCCCACATATTCCCACTCTACATGAAAGCAACTGAATCCTAAACTGTGACTCTTTAAGGGGATTCTCCCAAATCTTACAAGCTGAAGTTCAAACTTCTTTGTGGTCCTCAAATTGCTGAGTGTGGCCGATTATTTCTCTATCATCAGCAAATGGCTCGCCTACATCTGGATGCAGGAAAGAGATGGGGTTTTAAGAGCTGCTGTGGAAGACAATATCCCCTACCCTGTTAGAGATCATACATGGCAAGGTGAGGTGGGAGCCTGTCCTTACAGGTTTCTGTATCAGCTCAACTCTCTGACAGGTGACCCACCACACTGACACTGCCTGAGTCCCTCTTCTTCTGTGCCTTGCTTTCTTTTGCTTTTCAAGCTCTTCACTCTTTTTGCTAAACTAGATCCTGTTCCTTTCGCTGTATGATTCTTTTCAGCCATAAGATCTTGCTAGGACCATGGCTTTCTCTGAGACAGCTGCCTATTCCTCCAAACTAATGGTGGTGACCCTGCCCAGTGCTCACATAGTACCTTCAGTGACCTTTATCTAAGCAACAATTGTCTAAACTCACTGTTGCTATGACAAAATGCCTGAGGTTGGGTAATGTATGAAGAAAAAAAGTGTATTCAGCTCACAGAGTCCCTTGGTAACCACATGCCCCGTAATTGTCATGGTAATGGCATCACCATGGAAACACATGTAAGATGGTAAAATATAACGCAGGGGCCCAGGGCCCAAGATGGGATCAGGTCTCACTCTTTACAGAAGAGCTCATTCTTGGGAGAATTTAATCCACACAGTTAACATTAATCCCGCCCAAGATCAGTGTACCTAATAACCCTAATTACTTCCCATGGGGGCTGGCCTCTTAAAGGTACCAGCAACTGTAGCACTGCCACAACAGAGACGAGTCTCCAAGCACATAAACTTGTATGAGACAAACCACCTGCTATCATCATAGTAGATTGCTTTTCAATGTGTCTGCCTTCCTTACAAGCGCCACAAAAATGGAGCATTATCCCTTTTTGACCCGTGCAATGACTCTGCTCTCTGCACCCTGTTTAACACCGAGGAAGGGAGTATTCAATAACCATTGAACTTCTGTAACACATTTGTTTTTGTGGATAGAAGAATATGGCAGAAAAGAAAATTGAGAAAGTGACACGACACTTCCTGCCTAGAGGCTAAGGATCAGAGTCTGCTTCACACTCTGCCGTGAGTGGCGGTGTTGGCTTTGCTTTCCATGTGACATCATCTGTCATCTCAAGACTTGCAAGCTTGTGCACTGATCTTAGGTTCTGGGGAATCAGACCTCTATGTGGTACCTTTGGAGTTGAGATATTGGAAAAACCCTGCTGTAGAATGCTACTCCTGGGTATAACCCCCCTTTTACTAGTTCTAGGAGCCTCCAACTATCCTGGACAAACACAAGAACAAAGCTTGGCCAATGTGTCCTCAGGAAAGCCATCTGTTTCATGGCCATCCTGAAACACTTGCCTTCACTGGCTCTCCACAGCCACCAGGCCAATCTTGAAGAGATGGATAATTCATCTGGAAAACAGGGACGGCTCACCTAGGGTGATGCCAGGTCTGGACTGTACTTTGGTCAGAGATTATTTTCATAACTTTGACTTCATAGCATGAAATCATTTCTGCTTACACACGCACCATGGTCTCATCTGTCTTCAGTTTTCTGGCATCAATGACCTTGAAAGGCCATAGGTCCAGGGGATTGGAAGTCAGTGGTTATTACTAGTTAATTCATTCAGTCACATTTGCTGAGCCTCTATTAGAATTCTCCAAAGCTTTGTCTTTAAGACCCAAACGCCTTCTTGAACCTGAATAAACAAGAGGCCCTGTCTTTAGGAGCAGTAAGTAAAAAGAATAGCAAACCTGACCAGATGGAAATATGCCCTCTGGAAGAAAGCCCCACTGAGTACCATGATGGTTTACAACTGGCCTCTGACTCGTAGGCCTTAAGCCATCGGTACCAGGCTTATGAATTCACGGTATTTGATTTGTTACATTCACAGGGAACAAAGGCAGAAGACCAAGACACATGTACCAGGACCCAACATCACCTCCTCTACAGTGCTGTTATTCCCAGCAGTCTGTCCTGCTCTGTGAGCTCTTCTCCCCCTCAGGGTAGCCAAGGGAAGCTTAGCCCGTTCAGGTGGGTGCAATACAGGGCCTTGGTTAGCAGGGAGTACATGGGTAAAGAACACACACAACCAAGAACAGCTTTGAAGAACTGGTTCAGTTTAACTGGGGGGAATAAAGGCTATTTAAACTTTTAGGGGTGGGTAGGGGCTATGGCGTGAGTGTACATCATTGGTCCAGGCCAGGGTGCTAGGGATGCCTCATTTGCATAAGGAGGAATTCCAGGTGCTGCTGGACATGACCTTATAAGGGGAAAGGAAATTTAACCTGTCGACTGGCTATGTAGCTATGTGACTTCCTCTGGGGAGGCAAGAGTGGGGCCACAGGCTATGTGTATCAGGACCTGCAGGCCCAAGGTGGGGGAGAGGGAGAGGTTCTGCTCCTGCTGACATCAGCTCAGGATGAGGTTTCCAGGGTTTGAACAGGCCTCAACCCCATTCTTGCTCCAGGCCTGATCCTCCCAGTCCCACAGCTTCCTGGACCCACAATTCTGCTTCCTTGTTTTAATGCCACTGAAGTGGGTAGTGTCACCACACCCAGGCAGAAAATCATGAGCGTCATAACCTGCCATAGGCCTCGTCCCAAGGAACCTTACTATAGTTTGGATCTGGAATACCCACCAACAGTCTAAGTGTCAAAGGCTTGACCCCAGTCCATGGTATTACTGAAGACAGTAGGACCTTCAGAAGGTAGAACCCAGAGGGAAAAGGCTAGATCACTGAGAATATGTCCATGGTAGGGGATATTGGAGTCTCAGGTCCCTTCAATTTATTTATTTATTTTTTCATGGCCACCATAAGGTGAACAGGGCTCTTCTGTCTCATGGCAAGTACCTCCAGGTTGAACTGTGCTTGCATGAGCCCAAAGCAAAGGAGCCAAATGATACAACGAGACCTCTGAGGCCACCAGCCAAGACAAACTAGCCGTCTTCGAAAGCTGATTATCTCAGGCGTTTTATGACAGCAACAGAAGATGAACATATCATAGACTAACAAAGGATGAACTACCTTATATTGTTTTTCTTTTGCTCCAGGGAAATAGTTGACCAAGGCTGGGAGACACAGACTGTTCTCACTTATTCTGCCTGCTGGAAGAGTGGTTCTGAGGATGGGGAAGGCCTCTTTGAGTGTTTTGCTCAACTCTGTGTAGAGGCCAGTCCTTTTCTGAAAACCAGGAGTCATTGGGGTAAAATTTTCCCAATATAAACCCTATGTCATAACCAAGTTATCCACCTGCACCTGAAAGCAGCACCTGATCCATACACATGCCGACCTCCCAGACTACAGAAGGGCTTTAGTCGGCAAAGCTTCTGACACAGTTCTTGAGCAACTGACAGCACTATAGCTAATGCATTAGACACTGTGGCTCTGCAGCTCGGGTCCACATAGAACCTCTGTCAACTCTGCATTTTTACCTTCCCCTCCTCGCAACTGTCCATGTGCCTGGCATCTGGGTCTCAGTGAAAGAAGATAAAAGCAGGACCTGACTTTGCAAAGGGGGGGATAGGGAATAAATTTTTAGTGATGCCTGTAAACCCATTAACCTACACATGTAGGGGATATCAGAATTAAACCACTACTAACATTTGTCTCTAGTCAATTCTCTCAGATCAGGAGGTTGAAAGAGAAACTGATATGTGCTGGTACCTTGTGGGCAGGATGCACTAGCTCTGACCACGGACAGAGTAGTTCTAACTCACAGAGTAGGTCTGCAATTGGAGAGGGGAGGATGATGACTCTGCCCAAGACAAAAGCTATCTGCTTTATCTCTGCTAGATGATATTGCCCCAGCTCCTAGCACACAGCCTGGAACACAGCAAGGCTGCCAATGATACCCACTGAGTGAATAAATGAACTGACCGTGCCAAAGCTACCCTGCTGGAGCACTAAAACAGAAGACAGGAGTCTAGCTGGCCTGTGCACCACAGAAAGCACTGGGGGAAACAGCCATGGGCTCGAAGACATGACGCCACTGAGACTGAAGAGAGCAGCAGGGAGTAGCAAAACTAAGCTCCTGTGGTCTGCACTGTGAAGATCAGTCTGGGCAGCACAGACAACACAATCATGTGCATTGTGGGAAAGCCAGAAACGCTTGAGACCTCCACAGCAATGTGACCCAGGGTGACCTGGGTATTCTCTATAAGAGCTCACTAGCTGTAGGCTGTACTCTATGAAACATCACTGAGAGACACTGAGGCAGCTGAAGGCACCCAGCTCTGCAGGAGGAGCTGGGAGGTACCAGAGCTCTGCTTCTCCATCAGTTGCATTGACACCTACGCTGTTTCTCCATTGGGTCAAACTATGCAATTTTAGACATTGACCATCTCATCCCAACTTGGCCTTCATCCATGGCAATCACATTTCCCTGTGTTTTCCCTCCTTGGTCAGATCTAGATCAGAGTCTGTGCCTTCTCCACGGCAAGGCCCAGAAAAACCAGGGTGCTCACAGAGCATAGAGACTTGTCAAACAGACCTGCAGTGATTTTTATAATAAGGCAAACAACGAGACCAACCTTGGACGTGTACGTGTGGCCATCAGAGCCGCAGACCATCACTGACTGTGCCACGGGGCAAGGCTTGCACTTAAGCAGAGTTGAAGGTCCGACCCAGTGCTTGTGAGCCACACTCCCCTTCTTTTGCCTAAGGAAGAAATAAGAGGGGAGACGTTAAGTCAAAACTCTGCCCTTGTTGGCGACTCCTCCTAGGTTGTTCCCAAAGAACACTGCTAAATACAGACAGAAAAGCATCCGTAAAACAGTAAGAGGCCCAAGGGAGGGACGCTAGCCAGCACCCCCATTTGTTCCAAGTCATTAAGAGGTGTCAGGAGGTTTTCTCTCTAAAGCATAAAATCTACCCATTAGCCGAACCAACAAAATTAAAACATTGCAAAACATCACATGCCCACATGGGAAGAAGAACACAGACACTTCAGAAACAATGAAAGAGAACATCACCGTGAGCCCCAGTACCTGGTTCAACATATCACACGTGTCCCGAATTCCTTCCCATAGCCTTACACACTCACGGGGCTGCCAGGCAGCTTCCATATTGACAGAAGGTGCTACTGTGGTGGCATTCTCTTCAGATTTACTCCAAACACCACCAGAAGACTCTTCCACAGCGGCAGAACACCATCTCTGGATATTTGTTAAAGCAATTTCAGGGGAGATTATAACTTGCCACTTAATAAAGGCTCTGTGGTAATGTCACTCCCGCTGTTAACATAACCCAGCAATGTGACCCCGGGGTGACCTGAGTTTTCTCTATAAGAGCTCACGAGCTATAGACTCTACCCTAGGAACCATCACTGGACATCAGTCTCCTCTTCTGCTCCAGCTTTCCCATCTCACGTTTATCACAACAAATGGCACGGCCGTGATGGCTGTGTCCACAAAAAGGACCCCATCTCTGACCTCACTGAGAGAAAGAGGCTTGCAGTTGCTGCTACCGTTTCTCCCTCAGCTGAAGCTGGTCTCTACACAGTTCACTTGCTGTGACACCTTTGCAGTGCCCACTGACCAGGCACCCTGCACTGCACTTTAACAGAACAGTTATGATTCCCTTGAGGTGTTTGGCTATGCCAATCAGCCCTGCACGGTAAGTAGTATGTGGACTCTGCAGCCGGAAAACACGGCGGACACTCAACTCTACCACGAAAGCATGGGGTGACCTTGACAAGACGGGTTAATGCTAAAATCCCAATTTCTCATCTATAAGTGATGGAAACAGAAACTACTTCTGATGGCTGCTGTTATAAAGATCACAATGTGTTATATGGTTTGAATTCAAAACACCCCAACAGGCTGATGTACTGGGGGCCTGTTTAGAAAATACCCCAAAGGGCTGATATACTGGGGGCCTGTTGGTAGAAAATGCTGCAGTGGATTATGTACTAGGTCTCTGTAGGAAACGCCCCAGTGAGCTGGTATACTGGGAGCTTGTTTGCTAGTTGATGTGCTTTTAGGAAATTATTGGCTCCTGAGGGCTCTGATTCAGCAAACAATGGATTTAAATAGGATACAGTTGCAGGCAAAACCTAGTAGGGGGAATATCTGTAGGGAAGTGGCCTGTCCTCAGGAACTACCTGCTGTGGTCTCTTTCTGTGCTTGTTTCCCATCTGAAGAGCCTCTGTTACAAACACCGGCTTCCACCACCCTGATTCTTTATCCCAACACAGGGCCAGCATCACTAGAGCCAAAGACTGTGGACTAAAAGCTCTTCATCCTGGAGCCTAAAATATGTAATTCCTCCCTTTAAGTTGCTTTTCTCAGGTACTTGTTTTATAGCGACAATTATTACTAGTGCAACCCTCCAAACAAGGAGCAATACAAGTGTCAGATATTGCAAATTGTTTTCCCAATAGAAGAGACTCTAAAGAAAGATGTTATTATTGCACGGACACATGATAAGCTCTTGGGTCCTAGATCAGGAGGGTCTTTAACCACTAAGATCTGTGAAACAAACCGTGAGGAAACCAGGAATCAGCTGTGCTAGGTCCAATGGTCCCATCCCTCAGGAATTCACCTGTGGTATCTGAGGTGAGCTGCCCTCTTGCAAATGAGAAGAATGGGGGATGGAGGGGGAGCAGGGAAGAAGAACACAGCAAACACTAACTGACCACCTCACACATTTCATTAGTAATTTAAGGGAGGCAGTGGGGTGAGGAGAGTGTGTTTGGAGAATTCCCTGAGGGCAACATCAAAGGGAATCAGTTCATACCCACAGCATAGCTGCCTGAGGCGACCAGAGATCCAGGCTGGAAAGAAAACATTTCTGAACCTTTCTGACCAAAGAATCAGAGAACAAAGTTCTAGGCGGGTCTTTATCACTCAGGATCCACCTTGTTTGTTTTACTGAAGAGGGAACTGAAAACTCTGAGGCGGAGTCCTGTCTGAAGTCATGGATTTGGTAGGTGGTAAGGGTTAGGGCCCTCAGAGAGTGTCCAAGCTTGAAGCTTTGCCTTGGACAGTGTTTTATGTCTTAGTTACTAGTCTATTGCTGCCACAAAACACCATGACAAAGATAACTGATAAAAGAAAACATTTAACTGGGCACATAAAGTTTGTAGTTTTGGATGAGACTGCTGCCCCAACCATAGACTCATATGTTTGAATGCTTGGTTCCTAGACGGTGGAATTGTTTGGGAAGGATTAGGATGTGTAGGAGGGGGAGTGTCATTGAGGAGTGTGCTTTGAGGTTTCCAAACCCGTGAATCCCAGTTAGTGTGCACTCACACTCTCTCTGTGTCTGTCTGTCTGTCTGTCTGCCTATCTATCTATCTATCTATCTATCTATCTATCTATCTATCTTCAATTATCTATCATCTATCTACCTATTATCTATCACCTACCTATCTTCTTATTGATCTAATAATTATCAATCAATCATCTATCATCTATCTACCTATCATCTATCTATCATCTACCTATCTACTTATTGATCTATCTATCGATGGATCAGTCTATCAATCTATCGAGCATCTATCTGTCTCCAACTTTCAGATTAGGATATAAGCTCTTAGGTGCTGTATCGCATTATGTCTGCCTGCCTGTCTGCTCCCCTTCCTGCTCCCATGCTACCTACTATGATGATCGTGGATGCTAACATCTGGAAATTGTGAGCCTTCAAATTAAATACTTTCTAAGTTGCCTTGGTCATGGTGTCTCTTTGTAGCAACAGTATCCCTAAACACGGCAGACATTTCATAGGGTTAGAGCTGAGAGCTCACATCTTGATTCTCAAGCAGGAGGCTGAGAGTGTAATGGGAGTGATGTTATTCTTTTGAAATCTAAAGGCCTGCCTCCAGCAACAGACTTCCAACAAGGCCACACCTCTAATCCTTCCCGAACAGTTCCACCAAATGGGAATCAAATCTTCAAATATATGAACCCATGGAGACCATTCTTATTCGAACCACCACAGCACATCTCAGTCCAACCTAGAACAGTAGCTTTAGAATTCTTTGAGGGCACTCTTGTTGTCTATGCTATTGGAGGTCTGCCTGCTTCCCAAGCTACCTATATTGACTTTACCTCTCTATCTTGGATGGCAGACATTCATCACTTGAACTTGTGAGTCACATGGACTTGAGGTCTGCTATTATTCTTCAGCAGGACATGTCTAACTCATTCAAGGCCTGATTCAGTCAACCGGTACACGTACTCATGTGAGAGTGAGATCACGGCAGAGGGGCAGGCTTGCAGCACAGGGTTAACATTAGAGCCCACAATGTCTTCCACAGAGCACCTCACATTTATCATCATTCTCATAGCACATTGTCTGCCCCTGACTGAGAGTCAGCAAAAACCAAGGATACACGCTTACAGTTGGTAGCCCTTCTCCTGGGTTCAGGCCCCACAAGGCTGAAATAATTCCTATTCTGAGATTCTGGAAGGAACTATAGAGTCCTCAGGGTTTCCCTGGAGTAGGCATGCCTGGGTGTAGTGATGCTTCAGGAGAAAGAAGCCTCAGGGAGCTTGCCAAGGCAGGAAGGGGAGGGAGGGGAGGAAGGGAAGGGAGGGAAGGGAAGGGAGGGAGGAGAGGGAGGAGAGGAAGGGGAGGAAGGGGAGGGAGTGTCCTGTCCAGCAGGGCATTAAACAGGGGTCTGGGGAGATCACCTGAAAGAGAAAGTGGGGAACAGGCCGACGCAAGGAAAGACAATCTGTCTATAGTTTGATCAGATCGCCATTTCTACTTTTGTACACACAGGTTATATACACAAAAAGGCAGGATGTGGGGAAGGGGATGATGCAGGAATGTGGGTGTTCAGGGGGAGTACAGATATCTTTCAGAACAGAGTGTCAGCTGGGTGAAGGTTCAGGGGACAGATCACTATGACTCCGCCTATGATTCACTTGTCCTTATCCAAGTTGGTACTATCCACCAAGGTTACCTATCTACAAGGTCTATGACTATTCAGCCTGGCAATTTTCCACCAAAGTTGTTTGTTTACAATAGCTTCTAGTCATCTGTTTCAGTGTTTTTCCACAGAGACCCAAGACTTGGTGTTAGCAGGCATGTATGTCAGGCCTATGGCTGATTTTAGGCCTATGGCTGATTTTAGGCCTTCAGTGTGTAAACAGGGCTGCTCCTGACAAGGGAGGGGAGGGAGAATAACCATTGCAAAGATGGAGCCAGCAATCAATCACTAGCTAATGACAAGCGGTCTCTGTCTCTGAACCTAAACTTCACTATTAAATTAAAGTCTTGAAGGGAGGCAAGGAGGTGAGGCTGACTGGTACCTACTAGAGTTACGGCACCTCACAATGTTCAAGGCATCACTACTGGGTAGAGGTTTTGCACATGCTTGTCATGTAGCCGTCACTGTGCAGCTAACCGCAGGCTCACTGAATGATAGATCAAGTACCTTAAAACTAATATTGATAATGTTACTTGTATGTCTGTGTCCAGGGCTGACTCCTTGGTAATGAATAGCCAATTGGTGTTCACTTCCCTGGGGAAGATGATTTCCCCCATTCTCAGCATTCCTTAGTTACCCAGAGTTCTTTGGACAGGGTTGATGCTTGTGGACCATGTCTGCTCATGTTTTTGTTGTTGCCCTTGTTCAGCTCAGTGGAGGCCGCCATGTTGGTGAGGCTTTATAGGCGTAGTTTTTATATCAGTAGGAGACAGACTCACAG